TTTAGGGTTTAGGGTTTAGGGGTTAGGGGTTAGGGTTTAGGGGTTACTATAATCCCTACTACGGCCTGTTAGTAGAAGGGGAAACGTCCCAAGTTTTAGAACCTGAGTCCAGGAATTTCGGGATTTTGGGGTTTAGGTCAACCCTCAACCCTAAATCCTAAGCCCAGAATGAAAAGCGCTATGATGGAAGACTGTACTAACCAAGAACAAAAAAACTAAATCCAACAAAAACCTGAACCCTAATTAAGTCCTAATCCTCAAGCCCTGAACCCTAAACCCAAAAACCTGAACCCTAAATCCTAACCCCAACCCCCCAAGCGCAAAATACCCTAAACCCTAAACCCCAAACAACCTAGACCCTCAATCCAAAACCAACAAAAACATCAAAAACTAAACCCAAGCCCTATATGAACCCTAAACCCCCACCCGCACCCCGCCCCCGAAAAAACACAATGAACGAAAGAACAACCGTCAATCTGAACCCCAAACCCTAAACCCCAAAAAGCTAAATTCTAAACCCTGAACCCAAAACAAAAACGAAACTTAAATCCTAAACCCTACTCCCCAAAAATTTCCAAAACCCCCCAACAATAATAAAACCCCAAAAAGAACAAAACCCTCCCAAAAACACAACAAACCCTATAGCAAGTAAAACAAAAATCCAGAAAGACTAAACCCTACACCCAGAAAAACACCCTAAACCCCAAACCCAAAAAAGACCTACACCCTACAGCCTAAATCCTAAACCTGAACCCTAAACCCTAAGTCCTAAACACCTGAAATCCTAAACCTGAACCCTAAACCCTAAGTCCTAAACACCTGAAATCCTAAACCTGAACCCTAAACCCTAAACCCTAAACCCTAAACCCTAAACCCTAAGTCCTGAACCCTGCACCTCTGAGGCGATGAAGCCATACCCGCGGTCCTCGCTGAAGGACTTCACATAGCCCACCTGAGAAGAGCAGGGCTCAGGGTTCGGAGCTTAGGGTTCAGGGCTCAGGGTTCAGGGGGTTGTTTGGGGTTTAGGGTTTAGGGTTTAGGGTGTAGGGTTTAGGGTTTTAGGGTTTTAGGGTTTTAGGGTTAGGAAATCAGGAGTCCATGGCCCACGCAGCTGTAATCAGAGTCCCAGGCACAGCCTTCTCCGCAGCCTTCTCGGACCGTGGCTTCTCCGAGTCCAGCTTGTCATCCGACGCGCGCCTGACCGGAACCTTGGCCGGCTTGGGCGCCTGCGTGAGGTGGTGGTCGGGGGGGTTTGAGCTTCGGACTCAGGGTTTCGGGGGAGAGGGCTTAGGGGCTTTAGGGGCTTAGGGTTCAGGGTTTAGGGTTTCAGGGTTTCAGGGTTTTGGATTTCAGGGTTGTAGGGGTTTATGGGGTTTCGGCTTGGGTGCGCCTTGGCGAAGTAGTGGCCCTCATTGAGGCGGACGGCGGCCGGGATCTTCTGCCGGCCGAGGCCGCGACCTGGCGCGGCCTCCACCGGCGCGCGCCTCGCGCGGTAGGCTCGTAGCACCTGCCTGGGCTTAGGGTTTGGGGTTTGGGGTTTCGGGTTTAGGGTTTAGGGTTTACGGTTTAGGGTTTAGGGGTCTAGGGGTCTAGGGATATTTTTTCAATAACCCTAAACCTAAACCCTAAATAAACCCAGCTGCTGGCCCTCCTCTGAGGTGAAGTAGTCCAGCACGTCTCTTGTTACATGGGACTGTTCCAGGAAGCGGATGGCCTCGGCAAGAGTCTGACGGTTTAGGCTTTAGGGTTTGGGGTTTAGGGTTTAGGGTTTAGGGTTTAGGGTTCAGGGTTCAGGGTTTAGGGGCTTGTTGCAAGTATTAAGCGTTCAGGTCCGGGGAAAGTTTCGAGGAGTTTCGAGGATTTTCGAGCAGTTTCTGCTTTGGGTTTTTCTTAGTTTTTTCAAGTTACAGGGGTTTGAGGGTTTTGGGTTTTGGGTCTTGGGTTCTGGGTTAACATCTAGAAGGTATCCTTCTGCCTCCCTACGACTTTGCTCAGTAGAAACCGCAAAAGGTCGGCCCATCACCCAAACCCTAGGGTCCTCACATGTAGAAGTATTCCGAAAATCCAGATGCCCAAAAAAACGGATTGACACTCCAATTCCGCGTCAACCCTAAACCCTAAACCCGAAACTCTAAACCCTAAACCCTAAACCCCAAACCCTAAACCCTAAACCCTAAACCCTGAACCCCTAAACCCGAAACCCGAAGCGCGCCTTGGTGGACACTTCGGACTCGAGCCCTGCGGTGGCGAGCCAACTCCAGCTCGCCTCCCCCCCCAAAGAGCGTGGTTTAGGGTTTAGGGTTTAGGGTTTGGGGTTTGGGGTTTAGGGGTTTAGGGGTTGAGGGTTTAGGGTTTAGGGTTTAGGGTTTAGGGTTTAGGGTTTAGGGTTTTGGGTGTGTCAGGGGAGGGCGCGCGCTCGGGTGTGAAACACCCCGGGCCGCGCGCTCGCGTTGCCCGTCAACCCACCCCGGCCACCCAAACTATACTCTATTAGGGTTTAGGGTTTATGGAATTTATTTTCTTGTGCTCTGATCCTTGCTTTGATGTTTTTAAAGTTGCGCTGTTTGGGTTTAAGCTGGGGTTGGGGGTAGCCTCGGCCCTTTTCGGGCCTTCGGCATGTCAGGGCCCGTAGAGACCCTTATTTATTTGAAGGTCAGGGAAACCCTTTGTGCCTGCTCCTGGATTCCCCTTCTTTAAGGGCCTCAATAAGCCTTTTGGTGGCTCTTGGGGCCTTTTGGGGGCTTCCTGGGGGCTTTCCTGGCCCTGCCGGGGTAAAATGAGGGAAAAAACCATCGATTTCAGTACCAAAAAATCGCATTTTTCATTGCGGGTACGACGTACCCGGGCATCCTGGGGTCCCCTTTCTTTTCGAGAACCTTTTAAACCTTTTGAAGCCTTGTGGTGGCTCTGGGGGTCTCTCGGGGCCTTGTTCGGACCTTCGGCGTGTCAGGGGCCGCCGCCCTTGGCCCTTGGGCGGGCCCTTGGCCCGAGGGGAATTGGCCTAGCAGCTCGGGGCAGGCTGTTGGCCGGGGGCCCTTGGCGGGGGGGGGCTTGGCCCGGGGGGCCCTTGTCGCGGGGAGGCCCTTGGCCGAGGGGTGGCTGAGCCCCGTTTTGACCCAAAAGACCCCTCGCCAGCCTCCTGGTCCAGGAATCCAGCTACCAGGGGCCCGGCAAACCCTGAACCCAAAACCCTGAACCGACCTCCAGACCAAAAGGGTTACACTTTGGGGTTATACTTTAGCTACGCTAAAGGTGGTCTGGGTGCCGGCCATCCCTTAGCCGAGTACTGACGTTGTCGTAAAAAAGGCCGATGTCCGTTGGCCTGTCCAGGACAGACGGTGAGGCTTAACCCTCACCTTTCCGTCTTTTTGCTTGGGCGCTGGGGCTGTAAGGCCCTCGGCCGAGCGTTCGGGGTCTGTCGCTCGACGGAAGCGACCCCTCACTTAGTTTAGGGTTTAGGGTTTAGGGTTTAGGGTTTAGGGTTTAGGGTTTAGGGTTTAGGGTTTAGGGTTTAGGGTTTAGGGTTTAGGGTTTAGGGTTTAGGGTTTAGGGTTTAGGGTTTAGGGTTTAGGGTTTAGGGTTTAGGGTTTAAGGCTTTGGGTTTCGGATTTAGGGTTTGGGGTTTAGGGTTTAGGGTGCAGGGGTTTCGCGGTGGGCGAAGTACATTCTGAGCTTCTCACCCACGGGCCAGGGGAACGGATCGGTCAGTTCTCTACATGATCGTCCCTTTTTGGAAATAAGAGGGGCCGCCTTCTGATCAGGACCCCAAAAAGGGGTCATGTTTTGGAGGAGTGACCATTTGGGAATCGGCGCAGTGGGATTCTGCCATGGTTTTTGGCGCGACTGTAGCTGGAGTTTAGAGTTAGAGCTTGTCCCATCCTATCTCCAGCACCACGTCGGAATCTTGGCGTCACTGCCTTTGTCTACACAAGATTGCGATGAAAACTAACGGCTACTGCCACTGTTGACAGGCACACTGCTCCTCAAAGACCATGGCCCTGGTGCTGCTTGTGGGGTTGGCATGACAACAGAAGCCCCGCGTTGTGAATCCTGCCTTTCTTGCCTGAGCTCCGGACGCCCAAACACACCCGGAAACATTGAGGCACATTATTGAAGGAATTGATCCAAATCCGATCTTCAGCTGTGTGTCACAGCTAAACAAACCCCATAACCCAGAAGACCCCCCAGAACCCCAGAAGACCCCCCAGAACCCCAGAACCCCAGAACCCCAGAACCCCAGAACCCCAGAACCCCAGAACCCCAGAACCCCAGAACCCCAGAACCCTAAACCCTCCCCGTCCTTCTGAGCTGTGGCTGAGGGAACGTCGTTCATGCTGGCCATGGCTCCAGCAAAGTCGCGCCAGCAAAGATGAACACTGAACCGTCAAGCAATTAGGAGTTATACGTCCCTGGGCCCCATTTCTGGATTAGGGTTTTAGGGTTTAGGGTAAACCCTGTTTCCCTAAACCCTAAACTCCCTAAACCCCTCTGACAGACCAGAACCACACCCGGGGAGAAGATAGCAGGTTCACAAGTCGACACTGCGCTGCCGTTTCTGCAAGCTGTGACACGATGTCGACGATGGTATTCTACGCGTGTATGGCGAGACCTCCCCCTGACAGCCGAAAGCAACGGCACCCCATATTTACCCCAAACCCTAGACCCTAGACCCTAGACCCTAAACCCTAAACTCCTAAATCCTTGTTTCGCAGAACTCAGGGCGCCTTCCAAGAGTTCAAAGGAGACTTCGGGTGTCGCGGAAGTCAGCTTCTGGTGGCCGACAGGGGCTTAGGGTTTAGGGTTTTAGGGTTTAGGGTTTAGGGTTTAGGGTTTAGGGTTTAGGGTTTAGGGTTTAGGGTTTAGGGTGGAACCAGGAGTTCACAAACGCCTCTACCACCCAAATCCCAAGCCCTCGCCAGGTGCTTTTCTTCCGCGGGACGCCGGCCTTGGTCTGTACACGGGCTCACGGCCCTCGACATCCCTCCGCCCCCCCCTGCGCGTCATTGCGCGACAGGCGGCATCCACCACCCAGCTTTTGCGGCAAACTCCGACCTGATCGCCTCGATCTCGCGTAGGGATAGCTGCCCGTCTTGGTCAGCATCCAACTGCGGAAGGGAAACCATACACTCCAAGCCCGAAACCCGGAGAAGGCTGAGGGAAACGCTTTGTTGGGGGAGACTAGCCCTCACCTGGGAGCACATCTAACGTATGGATCCGCTCGACCCTCAACCCTACACCCTAAACCCTAAACCCTCAACCCTAAACCCCAAACCCTAAACCCCAAACCCTAAACCCTAAACCCCAAACCCTAAACCCTAAACCCGCCTCGCGCAGCAAGTTCGCCCAGCCCTCCTCAGAGAGGTCCTGGTGCAGAAGCGACCGCACTGCCGAGGACATCTCCTCCTGGCCTGGCTTTTGGGCAGCTTCATGCCTTTAAGGTTTAGGGTTTAGGGTTTTAGGGTTTTAGGGTTGAGGGTTTAGGGTTTAGGGTTTAGGGTTTAGGGTCTAGGGTCTAGGGTCTAGGGTTTAAGCTTTAAGGTTTAGTTTAGGTTTAGGGTTTAGGGCGTTTAGGGCTTCTTGGGGGTGTTAGTACAGGGTGTTTTTTGGGGTTTTTTGGGGGGTTTGGTGAAAGCGATGAAAGGCTATGGCAAGTAGCTCAGAAGCCCATCGGCATCCCTGTCCAGCAGGCAGAAAAACTGGTGCATCTCCACCGAAAGCTCCGACCGGGGAGGTATCTCCTGGCTACTTGGACACTTAGTAAGTAGGGTTATAAGTACCTTAATTGCGAGTATAAGTATTATAAGTATAGCTACCATACTTATAACGCCACTTCCTAAGTACCCTGATCCTTTCAGCAACCCCGCAAGTAAACATCTGTTTGCTAGATACCCATGTTACCGGGGACCCCTGAAGAAAATTCACACTATTTTTAGAACAGCCCAGGCATCCCACAAACAACCCTGAACCCAAAAGCCTAAACCCTAAACCCTAGATCATAAACCCTAAACCCTAAACCCTAAACCAAGTTCAACCCTGAACCCTGAACCCTAAACCCTAAACCCTAAACCCTGAACCCTGAACCCTCAACCCTAAATCTCGTTCAGGCTCTATTGCTTTCTTGGCCTGGTGGACAGGGGCTCAGGATGCTGAGGATACTTGGGGGGGGGGAGGGGGGAGTTCTTTCGGTTGGCGTTCAGGGTTGAAAGGGTTGAGGGTTTAGGGCTTAGGGTTGAGGCTTTAGGGTTTAGGGCTTAGGGTTTAGGGTCTAGGGTTTAGGGTTTAGGGTTTAGGGTTTAGGGTCTAGGGTTTGGGGTTTGGGGTCTAGGGGTTTAGGGTTTAGGGTTTAAGGTTTAGGGTTTAGGGTTTAGGGTTTGGGGTTTGGGGTCTAGGGGTTTAGGGTTTAGGGGGCATGCGGACGCCTTCCCGAAGAGGACGTAGCGGGGGCCCTCCCAGTGCTGGTACTGCCAGAGCACCTTGCCAGCCCAGGAACCCCAGAACCCCAGAACCCTAAGAAGTCTAGGAACCCCAGAACCCAAAGAACCCTAGAAGCCTAGAACCCTAGAACCCTAGAACCCTAAGAACCCTAGGAACCCCAGGAACCCTACGAACACTAGGAGCCCTAGGAACCCTAGGAACTCTAGGAGCCCTTCGGAACCCAAAAAACCCTTAGAACCCTAGAACCTTAGAACCCCAAAACCCCCCTCGGGGTCTACTTTTGGGGTTTAGGGTTTAGGGTTTAGGGTCTGGGGTCCAGGGTTTAGGGTTTAGGGTTTAGGGTTTAGGGTTAGGGTTTAGGGTTTAGGGTTTAGGGTTTAAGGTTTTGGGGGGTTGGGGTGGGGGGGGGCGGGGTTAGTTAGGGCTAAGTGTGGCGAAGATCGCAGATTCGTAAGAGAACTTTATTCCAGCTACCATCGCATTGATCTGCAATATAACCGTGAACAAAAAGAACGGGATTCTTTCTTCTACCAGTAGCTTGCTTATGCCAGTTGGGGTCTTCGGGTTCAATACTTAAGGCTTCAGGATGTCGGAGTTTGGGGTTCAAGGTCTAGCAGATTGAGGGTTTGGGGTTTCGGGCCTTTGGGGTTGGGAACTTAAAACCTGGGGTTTGGGAAGCACTGAGGACAACAAACCCTCAAGATTCCTAAAGCCCCTAAACCCTAACCCTAAACCCTAAACCGCCCCCCCTTTATCCCCCCAGGAGGCACCAGGAACTTGACTGTGTCTTGGAGCGGCCACAGGAAGAAGAAGTTCATCCCAGTACCGATGCACACCTCGCGCCAGACGTCTTCGGAGGCCTTCGGGGGAGTGGGTTTGGGCCCTGAACCCGAATTCCTAAACCCTAAACCCTACACCCTAATTCCTAAAGCCTAAACCCTGCACCCTAAACCCAAAAGCCATTCAACTTTGGGGTGTAGAAGTTGGAGGGCTGCAGCTCTGGAACCTCTGACAACCCATCGGGTCGGGGCTTCAGGATTCAGGCTGTAGAGATTGCGTGGTTTGTGTTGAGTTCGGGCTTTAGAATTCTTGGCTTCAAGTTTGGGCCGCCACCAGGCGCGATGAGATGAGGCAGTGAGGGGTTTGGGGGCCTCTCCCTACTGGAGCATGCTCGCGGATTCACCGGAGCAAAAAAAGACTACGGTGGCAGGGCTCCTAAACCCTAAACCCTAAACCCTAAACACCTCCAGATCGAGGCGGACCCCAAAGACCACGAAGAGGCAGGAGCCGGCGAAGGCGATCCCGGCGAAGAGGCTGGCGAAGAGCGAGTTCACGGTTTGGGCCTGCCCATCCTCACAGTTGTTGTGGCAAGCCTGTCCAAGAATGTTGCGGATGCTTTGGCTTTTGGGGGGTCCCTTTTTGGGGAGTCTACTACAGTTGGGGCAGAAGAGGGGTATCTCTATTTGGGGAAATACTTGTGCCCACCCCAAACCCTGAACCCTAAATTGAGGGGTCTATGGGAGCCTCTGGGAGAAGCGCTGCAATCAGGGATTTATGGGTTTTGGGTTTAGGGTCTCAACGTTCCACTGTCGTTGAATGCTCTTGGAAACTCCGAAAATCCTCCTCTTGTTGCAGACATAGAGCCAGCCAGAAGTAAAGCCAGAAGTCGGTCCAGAACAGGCAAGAACCCTAAATCCCAAACCCTAAACCCTAAACCCTAAACCCTAAATCCTAAACCCTAAACCCTAAACCCTAAACCCTGAACCCGCCTTGCAGGCATCGTTAAGCTTGCAGCACTGCTCAAGGCAGTTGCAGTCGAAGAGCTTGAACCCGCCCTGCGGCCGGCGGGCGGGGGGCCGCTCCACCCCCAGGCCACGATCCATGCAGAACTGCTTCGCAAAGGCCCGGCAGCGCTCCGCGCGCACCTTTGCGAAGTAGCCGTACTTGTTCAGCACATACCTTTGGGAGGCTCCAGGAAGTCTGAAGGGGTTTTGGGGGGTGGGGGTCCGTTTCCGGAGAGAGGAAAGCAAATCTTAGGAATGGGGCCTAAACCCTTAAAAACCCCTAAAGCCTGATCCCAAACTCCCTTGGGGGTTGAGGTCTCCGAGGTGCTGGTAGTCCAGGAGCGCGAAGTACTTCAGCACAGCCTGGAGGAGCATGCTGGGCAGCGTGATGCAGCTTAGGGAGTAGCAGCCAATCCACAACCAGCGCTGCCGGTCATTCCAATGTTCGTGCGTGTCCACATAATCGCTGAACTTCACCTGCACAAGAGAACCACACAAACCTGGGTTTTTTTTCTATAGTATAGCCTCTCCTTCACTCCGTGCATCTGCGCAAGGACAACCCCTTCGGCCCACCTTTAGGCCCGCCATGAAGTATGCGAAGCTGAGGAGGAGTACCAGCAGCCCAGTTCTCTCAACGGGACTAAAGGGATGCCCAAACTCGCATCCACAGATGCCAAAGACTGGGTGGTTGTTGCGAAAGCGGTACAGGAAGTTCGGCCAAAGGCCCTGGCCACGCATAGCCTCAGTCATGCCAGCCATGTCCCTGTTGCACTGTTCCGAGACGTTGTCGGGCTTATCCGCCCCGACCACAAAGAGAGTCCAGTCTCGGCGATTGCCGCCGCAACCTTCGTATACGTTTCCCAGGAGGTCCATGGTGCCTACTAACCTGGGCTGTCAACTGAGTAAAGTCGTCTTGTTGTCCTTAAGAAAAATGAACCCTAACTACCCTGCAATAGCGACAAGGAACAGGAAAGCAGGCAGTCCAAGTGGGATGAGAACCTCGGTTGCTGCTAATGAACTGAACGCATACCAGAATTGCGGCTTCAACAATATGGTTTCGGTGTCTAGAACAAGCACACCTAGGGTTTGAGGGCAGTCAGAGGGGAGTCTGACGGGGGCTTCATTTTGCGGTTTTGGTTGAATCAGGCGCCAGCGTTTACAATTCGCCTCGGCTGCCAGCCGAGAGGCGTCTAGAACAAGCAGACCAGGATCTTCCCAACCCTTCCCCCAACCAGAAACTTTTCTGCTTGTCTGTAGCCCCCCCCCCCCCTTGCGGGACCTGCCCAAACCGTCTGGCGCAAACCCCCCTAGCTGGCCTGCAACTTCATCTTGAACCCTTGGACCTCTCGGGGCACCGTTGCGCATGCTGCACCCTGTGTTGGGCCAGCCCCTCTGTGTCCGTTGCGGCGAGCGTAGGCGTCTACAATGATGACCACTTGCCGTACCCTAATCATGGTATGGTTACTTCTGATTTCTGTTCCCGACACATCCAGAAAACCCTAGTACACACTGATAACACGTTTTTGAACCTTTGCAAACCTTCATTGGGATTTGGGGGTTTCCGAAATGAGGGGGTGTCTTATTGTGGTCTTTTAATAATAGGGGGATCCTACTACTTGGATCCTTATTGGGGGTCCCCTAAACCCTAAACCCTAAACCCTTAACCCTAAACCCTAAACCCTAAACCCCAAACCCTAAACCCTAACCCTAAACCCCAAACCCTAAACCCTAAAAACAAAACCACTCCTGAACGGCAACCCAGGGACCAGGCCCATGATGGTGCAGACCAGGATCGTCCCCAGGCCTTCCAGGGCCTCCCGGGCCTGCGCGCGGCAGCCCGGCGCCGGAGGGGGGGTGGCGTCCATCTCCTCCATTTAGGGTTTGGGGGTTTTAGGGTTTAGGGCTTAGGGGTTTAAGATTTAGGGCTTGGGGGTTTAGGGTTTAGGGTTTAAGGGTTTAAGGGTCTAGGGTTCAGGGTTATGCCGGGTTAGGGTTTAGGGGTCTAGGGTTTAGGGTTTATGGTTTAGGGTTAGGCGTTTAGGGTCAGGGTTTAGGGTTTAGGGTTTAGGGTTTAGGGTTTAGGGTTTAGGGTTTAGGGTTTAGGGTTTAGGGTTTAGGGTTTAGGGTTTAGGGTTTAGGGGTTAGGGCTTAGGGGTTGAGGGGGTTTAGGGGTGTGGAGGTGTTTAGGGTTTAGCGGTCTCGGGGTTTAGGGGTTCAGAGGTTCAGGGGTTCAGGGGTTCAGGGGTTTAGGGGCTTAGGGGTTTAGGGGTTTAGGGGGTTTAGGGGTGTGGGGTTTAGGGGTATGGGGCTTAAGGGTTTAGGGCTAATCCTAAACAATCCCCCACCAACAGTAGGAACCTTTATGAGCATTTGTTTTCTGATCTCGGGTCTTCCTCAGGGCTTGGGCTTTGGGATTTCGTAAACCCCACAAGCCTAAACTCCTGAACCCTAAATCTAAGACCCCGAAACCTCCCCAAATCCTAAGCCCGAAACCCCAAAACCAGTAAACTCCTAAACCCCTAACCCCTAAACCCCTAACCCCTAAACCCGAAACCCTAAACCCTAAGCCTAAGACCCCGAATTCCTTAGGCCCTACGTCCATCAACCCTAGCTCCCGCGCAAAAGGGCAAAAGGAATACTTGGCATACCTTCCAGGACATTCCTATCAACCTTTCAGACTCTCTTGGTTCTCTAGGCCCTAAGCCCTAAACCCTAAACCCTGAACCCTAAACCCTCAACCCTCAACCCTAATCCCTAAACCCTAAACCCTAAACCCCGAGCCCTAAGCCCTACGTAAACCCAAACCCGAAACTTCCGAGGTCCTCCTGCGCTGGAGCCTCCAAGAGCGCCTCGGCCGCGCCATCTCCTGGCACGGGCTGCTTGGGTTTAGGCCTTAATTTGGCATCCTGCAGATTAACCCCCCTCCCCCCTAAGCTCCAAAACCCCCAACACCCGCCCTCAAACCCGAAACTTCAAAGACAAAAATGGGGACGAAAGTATGGCACCCCTCATATAGACCCTCGCAGAGTAGGATTCCCTTGTAATCAGGACGCAAATAGGGTACCCGGAATTTCGGAAACCCCTAAATGAATAGACATTTTCTGTGGTGAACCGGCGCCGCGGAAAGGTCCTCCTTCAATAAAAGCTCTGCAAGCTAAGTTGAAGTGCGTTGTGCCCACCCCAGCTGCCCAGCTAGTACCCCAAGAGCAAAAATAAGAACTTGCGTTCCCCAAGAAATCGGTCAAGACTTTCGGTCACAACGAAACCCTAGTCCCTCAACCCTAGACCCGAAACAAACCCCCGAAACCCTAAACCCTAAACCCTAAACCCCAAGCCCTCAACCCTAATCTCGCAACCCAAAACCCACAACCCTAGACTCTAAACCCCAAACCCCAAATCCTAAACCCTAAACCCTATAAACCCTATAAACCCTATAAACCCTAAACCCTAAACCCCCCGCCCTAAACCCTAACCCCTAAACCCTGAACCCTAAACCCTAAACCCTACACCCTAAACCATCCTTAAAATGCGGCGGGGTCCTCGTGGCGACACGGCGTGGTCCGCCATGGCGTAACGGACAGATCCGCAAGGCTCAGAGCACGCAAGCAGGCTTTTGGGGGTTTAGGGTTTTGGGTGTTGAGTTTGGGGTTTGGGGTTTATGGTTCAGGGTTGAGGGTTGAGGGTTGAGGGTTGAGGGTTGAGGGTTGGGGGTTTCCGTGCCGCGTTGCCTTGAGCCAGGATATCCGCCTCAGCAATCGGATTGCAGCATTCTGCAGCCTGTGGGCCCCCAGGGCAAAAAGCGAAGTCGTCCACACCTTTTTCCCACAAAGACTGCTGCATGGCTGCGTGACACGAGTGTGGAGCTTCACAGGCGCTCCGAGACCCGAGCCTGTATGCTGCAAACAACACACATAGCAATTTTACATCTGAGTATACAGGCAATGCCTGTATACAGAATATTGTGGAAGATGATGAAATTTAGCAGATCATATCAGAACATAACGAATATTATATACATGTATGTACGTGTTCTCAAATGTGCTACCCACAAGGACCTAACGTCTCTAAGTCTTTGATACACGTGTATGGCGTGATTCACATTTGCCCGTATCGCTTCGTTGTACTCAAGAACGCATGCTAGTAGCACACAAAATACGCACGTATGTGGGTGAGTGCAGACGTAACCTTCAACTTCTCCTCCCCTTGAGATTTGCACGACATCCCACTCTTCTAAAACATGGCCATGTAAGTTCTTCGACATGACACTTGCGGCCAAGCTTAGGACGAAGGATCAGTGTATTGCGGGACTTGGTTTTCCACTTACGTGCATTTCCAGGACGAGGCTGGTGCGCCTTGTGGTCATGGTGCACATCCCATTCCGGGTCGCAAATAGCCTGCCGAGTTCTGGGCCATTCAATTCAAAGAATAGTCAAGAATGGTATCGTAAAGTACAATTTAGCATGCTCAGGTATTGTAGACTATACTCTAGTACGGTCTAGTCCCATGCGGCCGTTGACTTTACCTGAGTTCTTGAAGTTTAGGCTTATACAGATCGAGGCAAAAAATCATAGGATCATGTGTTAGGAGAGCTACACTCCCTAAACCCTAAACCCTGAACCCTAAACCCTAAACCCTAAAAACAATAGCAGGCCACCTCCACGATCGACTCTGCATCGGACTCTTTCGTCTCGTCGCCTCTCCTGGACGCCAGACGCATGCAACCAGCCAAGAATTGGACTAAGAAAAGCACGGGCGGTGTTGTTCTAAAGTTACTACAAACAATCTATAGTTATGCAAGCGTATACTACTCCGCCATACTGCAGTACAAGGGTGCACAACCCCTGTCGAGAGAAGCTCTTTCCGATGCAGGTTGATCCTGGCTGGTTTTGCAGCTGTGGTGCAGTACAGTTGACTGCTGAATTGCCAGCTACCACCCTGCAGGAGCCGTACTACAGCTTCACTGCATTGTGGCAGCCGAATTAAGACATGCACTTTAAGGCTTGTCCACCCTGACGCCGAGAAGGCAAGGCTGGATTCGGGACAGAGTGCAAAGTGGGTGCCTTTGAGGGTGCCTACTCCCCCCCTTTGAAGATGAACACAAAGAAGAGGTCTGAGATGACGACGTCAGAGAGCGTGAACTCCGCCAAGAAGATGGGCCAATGCTTCTGCAAGTACTCCCGCAGGTGGTCCAGCAGGGTGCAGAAGTCCATTCCAAGGGCATAGGACGCCATGACGAGAAGCGGGACGAGGTAGAGGACCCAGCCCCACAGGAAGTACCACGCCAGGCAGGTAAGCTCGAACTTCATAATGCCTCCCAAGAGGAGGGTTGGTAGCAGCAGGAATGCCGTGAACCAGCCGATGACAGCGGTGCCAGGGCATGCGATGTAAGCAGCGGTCCCTGCTACAGGTGACAGCCGCATCATGCAGCTGAGGGTCGCCCACATCAGGGCATTCACCGCCTCTGCATTGCGACGATCCAGGGAGAGGAAGAAGCCAATCCGGAAGAGCGTCCAAGCCAGGCAGACGAGTAAGGGCAAAAACTCCAAGCTGGCCTTTGCAAGGAGCCCTGCCCCTATCGCAGTCTTCATTGACGAGGCGACAGCGGAGCAGAACTCGCTGCCACAGCGCTGAAGCCTCCCGAAGTCCAGCAAGCCGACATAATCCGGGAGGTTGAAGACCAGGATGCCCACCGCATATGCAGCACTGCCGAGGAATCCGAGTCGCCTGGAGAGTCCGAGGAACGTGGAAGCTGAGACTGATGGGTATCGCAGCGCGAGGCTTGCGCCCAACACATCCAGGATCGTGGCAAGGGCGAAGCAGGAAGCGCCCACGGCGCTGCAACCGGCACGCACGCCTCTCGCTGCAGCGTATCTGCTGACCAGTGGAGCAAGCACAGAGCCCTTGTCATGGGCAACCATAGCATCTGAACCAACCATCGACGCGATGAGGCTGTTCAGGTCATCCCAGGCTGTGTGGCTGAAATTGTGCTCCAAGGTTCGCAGTAGGTCGAATAGCAGGCCAACGCAGCCCAGCACCGCACAGATCCGCCGCCACTTGATGCGTGCCCCGAAGCGTGGTGATGCGGCTTCAGTCTGCTCAAGCATGCACCTGACAAAGAGCATCGTAACTGAAAAGCAGTCAGGCTGCGAAGCCGCACGGCTCGCTACCTTAGATGAACACGCGAAACCGCCACCATGCCGGGGCTGCCAAACCAGAAGCTCCTGAACCCAATCCCTAGCTGCGAGCATCGCTGCTCCTTCTGGACAGAAACCTATGCAACTCTGTGAAACTTACTGAAGCTTAGACAAGCTTCGTTGCCTGGAGACTCCGCTGCAGTTGCCGGTGAACGAAGCACGTCCACCGCCTTCGGCTTGGCGCTGGCGAAGAGCATCACTGCTGCGAAGGACAAGCATGCAGCCGCCAGCATGGAACACAGCAGGAACGGCAGTGAGCTCGGATCCCCCAGCAGCCCAGTCATGAAGCCGATCAGCAGGATCTGCAGGGTGACCAAGCAACCGGCGAATAGCAGGCACCATGATCGCAAACAGGCCCATGAAGAAGTCAGCAAGCACAGCCACAAACCGTTCGCAAGGCCGCTGCAGATGGCCAACCTCCAAAAACAAGCTGCGTTGGGCGGTATGGTATACGATGGTATGCTAGACTCTTATACCTATACATACATACATACATACAGACAGACGGTATACTATGGTTCAGAATGGCGTTTTCTTGTAGTTTAGATGTTGAGGGCACAGAATGAATGGCTAAGGATTTGGGGCCTTGCAGGACGGTGACTGCACAGCATACCATGATAATGCTTTATTCGTATACGGTGCACGAAGCTATATGTATACTATGAGTCTCCATACATATATTTATATATATATATATATATTCTCACACTAGACTGTAAGGATAGCATGGTATGCTTACAATGCCTGTCCATACTCGGATATATATATATATATATATATATATATATATATGTATATATATATATATATTAATTATTAGTATTATTATTATACTAGACTGCAAGGATAGCATGGTATGCTTACAATGCCTGTCCAGACGTTGCGGACAAGGGGCCACAGCAAAGTGGCCGGAGCAAATCCAGAATGAAAGTAGGCGATTGACAAAATCAGGGATGCCGTCTCCTGCGTCAGCAGAATACCGAGAACAGTAGCGTTGAAACCTGAGTCATCCGATGCACCGGATGCCTTGCAACACGACGCCCCAAAGAGGATTGCACTGGTGGACGTGCGCATGTTGAGCAGGAATGGTGCAATCCAGCTCAGGGTCACACGAATGCAAAACACTGCCGACGCTGTTGAAGCCACGGTACCAGACAGAAAGCCGAGGTCACTGGCTTGCTGGCGCTGCTTCTCGAAAGACGTGGAAAAGCTTTCCTGCCAGAACGTGAAAGCCAGCAGCGCAACAGCCGCACTTCCTTCTGCCAAACAGAAGACTGTCGTTGCTTTCCAACCGTATGCAGCCGAGGCAAAGCCACCATAATCCTGCCGTTCAAGAGCGCGTGGCGGAGAGGTGCCCATGGAAATCTGCACATGCCACAAGACTCGCACTAGCAAGAGGCTTGCTAGAACAAGGGCCGATCCGATGAATACCACGAGGCCCCTCCAAGCTGATGTTTCTACGATGTAAGATGCGGCAGCAAGGTCGAAATTGCTCGTGTCCATTGTCTGGGTGATGTGGTTCAGCTGGCCTGCCATTGGATTGCACAACATCCACACAGCTCCATTTATTGCCAGGAGAGCAGCTCCCAGGACAAGACTGAAGTGGAAATACCGCTCCTCGTGGAGCTGCTGCACATGACGCAGCCGGACCCACACTCGGAGACGGCATGCAAAGGAAGCAATGCGCTTCAGCCGTGTAGATATCGGAAGACAGCACAAGCAGCAAGCCACTGCAACCAAAGCCAAGGTGATCCCAAACTTCAGAGACGGATCCATGCCATCGGCACGCGGATCGTCGTTGCCGGGGCTGCATGCACGCAGCATGGGGAGAAGTTCGGGGGTGGCAAGGGCCACTTTGATGTACCCGCTGCGCTTGCCAATGGGTGTCTCAGGCACGCTGTACTGGCCAAACGTCACGTGCGGCAAGGCGCAAGACGTTGCCCGGCAGTCTGAGCACAGCAGGCTGGCATTGAGCTTCACCAGGCAACGCAAATCTCCCGAGACACCACAGGGGCTGCACTCCTGGCCCAGTCTTGTCGCTTGCATGAAGGCTGCAGTACTGCTTTCCTGCGCCGTGAAGATGAGTGCTCGGCGAAGGGCTTCAGGCCGCCAACCTTAGCTCGCTTCTCGCGGCTCACGCAAGCTTCTTCTCCCGAACCTTTGAGAGGGGCGCTTCTTGAAGGGTTTAGAGTTTAGGATTTCGGGTTTTGGTTGTTGGGGTTTAGGATGGTTTAGGGTTTAGGGCAGAAGACCCTTGGGCAAAGCAAGGAGACTTCCGGGCATGTGAAGGGTGCTTGCTGGCAGAATCACATTATTATGCAACCGAGTGGCGCAGCCATCGCTCGAGGACGAGAGGACGACGTGTGTGCCGAGAGATTGAATGTAAACACATCTCCGAACTGGAATCCGATCCTCGAACTTGCAGCTCGAGCAGTCGTCCCTGCAGCCGGAAAGCAGATACCAGCCACGATCTCGGTCGACAAGCTTGAATGCCGGGGCCAGGGATGGCAAGTTGCTCGCCATACAGTGGCCATCGAGCGCTTTTGTGAAGCTGATGGTTTGGTCTGGCGTGAAAGCACAGTCTTTGTTGCGGAACACACTCATCCACGCTGTGGCAGGCGTGCCTGAGACCTGCTGGCTGATGTCTGTGGCCGCGGCACGCCATTTTGTCTGCTGCTGCCGGAGCTGGAGCTGCCGGACAGCGAGCGCGTGCTCGTTTGAGACCCCAAGCTGCGGACATTGAAAGCCCATGCAAGGCTGGTAGAAGCCGGAAGTGGTGCACTGGCAGTGCCAGGACACCTGCACGTACCCTGCCCAAGCTTTGCCTTGAGGTGGAATGGTTCTGACTGCAGGACGAGGGGCGAAGGGCACCAAGGAACAGGCGGAGGATCCACCAGCACAAAACACAAGTGGAGTGTGGTTCAGCCGGTCATTCAGGAGAGGGAGGCTGTTCTGGATGGCCTGTTGGGCCAGCGACTTCAACTCACTTGCAGATCCCATGAAAGCGTCTGAGTGGAAAGAAGTCACGTTGGCACTTCCCATCGTCACGTTCGACACCTGGAGAACGATCCCAGCTGTATGGTCGTTGGGCACGTAGGCTGAGACAGAGATCTGCTCTTTGACATTGCAGAAGGTGGCGTTCAGCAAGCTAAAGTTCGACACTTTGGCCGCCGTCGCGTCCAAGCAGTCGAGCTTGAGATGCAAGGAGCTCTGTCGCATGATGACTCCGGCTCCCGCACTTGAGATGTCCACCTCTGGACGGGCCATGTCAATAGTGGAGTAGAGGGTGGCGTCCTTCACGCGGCTGGAGTTTTCTGAGTAAAGCAGACCGGCATAATGCATGCCTTGGGCGAGGGCAGATAGCAGCTCCTGGCTGAAGCGAGCTCCACCAAGCAGAACCAACTGCTTGGGGCCATGTCCTTCAACTCGATTCCAACTCTCACCTAGCGGAAGCGTGTTGTGATGCCCCGTCCACGGAGCATCGGAATCAGGGAAGGCCTGTGTGGAGCCATTTCTTGCTCTTGCATGGACTGTGCAACTCGCATGCACCGCGACGAAGCTTTCATTTGCAGGCACCTGCGAGTACACAAACTGGAGATGCTCCAACTTGTATGTCAAATTCAACGCGCTGTGAATGGGCAAGGTCTGCTGAAGGGTTAACTCCGACTGGAGGTTCTGCATTACGTATGCATCAACCACTTTGCGGATTCCGTCGCGAAGATCGTGCTGGTCTGCAAAGAGGCGTACCAGCCAGTCCGGGTGACAACCATGAACATCGGGACCCGAGATCCAGGACGTGTCCGTGTGGGGCAGCAGCTTCAATGCGCCTCCTTCATTTCTCACCTGCACGAGGCTACTCACCATGATAACACCAGTGATGTCGACCTCATCGTCACACACTGTATCAGTGATGCACCAAATGAGGCACGCGACCGATTCGATGTGGAGTTTGCCAGGCACACGGAACTGAAACTCCGCAGTGAGCCTGAAGCGGCCTGCATCAGAGCTGCCATCAGGCTCTAGGATCTCAGCTCGGGGCGCCCTCGATCCTGGATGCTCGCACATGTGGGGTGACTGGTGAGGGTTGCCACCCACTGGCACTCGTGTGCAGACATCGCGACGAGATCGAAAGGCTTCAGAATTGAAGTCGGAGTCTGCGTAGATGTTGATGAAGAATCCCGACTCCACTTTTTTGTGGTGCACATCTGGGACATTTGCTGACATCACATACGAAATGACTTCCGCTGCAAAGCTGCCCTGTCTCAAAGGAAGATCAAGCAAGAACTCTTGCGGCAAGAAATACTGGAAATCATACGCAAGCGCCTGGCTCACCATCGAAGCCAAACGGGCCATTGCCATGGCTTGGCATATCTGGATCTCATCATGCGGGGTCTCTGGCGCGAGGGCTATGAGTGGGGAGCGCACAAGCCTCGTGTGAGCCATGTGCCTGCGAATGATCTCACAGGTGACGGCAGCATATGAGTAGCCTGCCACATGATTAGGTGCACAGTACGGCTGCTTGCACGTCGGGCCCCCCCAGCACCGCCGGCCTCACGCGGAAGCGAACCGATGAGGTCAGCCATGGCCTGCGCAGGGGGGTTCCTTCTGGGATCTTCGGAGAGAGGCTCAGGAAGAGCGAGGATGAGAGCAGAAGCAAAAACATGGCCCTGGAGCTTCTAATTCTACCGTCCTGGACAACAGCACACAAAAGGCAAGGACAACTTTGCTGATCGAGGCGCCACACCGTTGATGAGCGCTTCGCAACAAGGGCAGCCCTAAACCCTAAACCCGAAACCCCAAACCCTAAACCCTAAACCCTAAACCCTAAACCCTAAACCCTAACCCTAAACCCTAAACCCTAAACCAAGCCCTTTTCTACCAGCCCCACCGGCTGCACGAGCCTCTCGGGCTTTGACGGGCGCAAGGTCTGTGAGCTTAGGGCTTTGCGGCGCCTGAACGCTAAACCCCTCTTGGTGAAATGTAAGGGTTGAGGGGTTTAGGGTTTAAGGTGCTAGCCTGTTTAGGGCGAATAGGCTTTAATTCGAGGAGTTTAGTGATTAGTGCTTCAGAGTGGAAGCTTCATGCACACAGCGCATACTTATATAGCAGGAAGGAGCACCACGAGATGGATACACATACGTGAGCACCCAACCTCCACATCGACGAACTCCAAACAGCCATTGTCCCATCGGGATTCGTGGAGAGATCGGAGTGCGTGGCAATGGTCACCGCCCGGACTTGTAGTGGGCCGAAATGTCTTCTTGTACAAGGGGCAGCTCAAGTACATTGCAGTTGATCTTCTCCTTGTACAAGAAGACAGCTCGGCCCATGGCGTCGGCGACGTACATGGGAATGCGCCCCAGCATCGTCAGCTGAGCCGTGCCAGGACGATACTGCACAACATTCTCCGTTCTCGCCAACATCCTTTGCCCCGCCCTCATCGGCCTCCAAACGATGCATCCACCGCTTGGAGTCCTCCGGCCACTTGGAGATGTCGTCTAGCGACGCGCTGATGCCTGTCACGTCTTCTCGCGAGAACACAGCCGGCACCCTGACCCAGCCGTTCAACTCATAATGCATCTTCTGCTCCAAAGTCATGAGACGCAACGTCGGCGTGTCCGACGCGCGGCTGAGGATTCCTCGTGCCCATGGAAGGTTTCGCAGCCAAGGCAGTGTTGGACGCATGGCCCTCGCCATCAAAAGGAGAGGCCTCGCAGAACTCCTTCCAGCGATGCGACTGCATTTGGGGAGCTTTCAGTTCGCCAGCCGTTCTGGGCAAACCCTTAAACCCAAACCCTAAACACCCTAAACCCCAAAACCCTACACCCCTACTCCCCAGCCCCTAAACCCCAATAAAGGGGATGAGTACAGCCCTTGGGGGACGTCAAGTTTGGGGGGGCTGTTGAGGTAGAGGTTGCCGCTTCGGGGTTTTGGGAAGCTCGCGGCTGCAGGTAAAAAAGCATCTCCTGGCACTGCTCTGCGGGTTTGAGGGTCGAAGGTTTAGGGTTTAGGGTTGAGGGTTTAGGGTTTCGGGTTTCGGGTCTCGCGAAGCATTGGCACGCCTGCCTTCCCACAGCGATTCGCAAAGTGAGATGGAACACAATGCTGCGTGGCTCCATGACACGAGTGTGCTTGCACTGTTGGGAACATCTAGCTCAAAGAAGCCTGTGTAAGACTTAGGAGCTTACCTCCTGTTCCGCTCGCTTTCAACTTCAAAGCACTGGGTCACGGTGCTGTGCATGGCCACTTTCACGCCAGATACGGCCACACGGGCACCAGATAGAAACGATGCCAAAGGAAGGAATGAGGAAGCCCTGGAGGCTCCATCTACGCCGAAGTCCTCACTTGGGCGCGGATCTTGGGCAGGTAGTGGTGCAAAGAAGGTGTCTGAGTGCCGGCGGTCTTGGCCCGATCATCCCAGAGGCGTATCCTCACCGCTGCCTCGGCGTGCGGCTGCCTGATCCAGTCGCCCGCCTGCTGCTCGGAGAAGACACCGCCCTGCACCTTCAGGGGGCCCGCAAAAGGCTTAAACTTTGGGTGCATCTTGGGTTAGGGTTTAGGGTTTAGGGTTTAGGCTTTAGGGTTTAGGGTTTAGGGGTTTAGGGGTTTAGGGGTTTAGGGTTTAGTACAAACGGGATGAAGCGGCAATGAAGGCGCCTCCAGGGATCGTTTGGACGCTGGCGAAAGGGTCTCCCAGTAGCCAGGGCGCGCGGCGCACAGGTATCGCTTGGCGTTCACGTGCAGGCGCACGGACTCGGAGACCTCTTGGAAGTCTCTGAAGCTGGGCTTGATTGCGAGGAATTTGGGGGTGGGGGGTGGGGAACGAAACGAAATCATGTCGACACCGTAGCAGACCACAGCCAAACAAACGCTCACAACTTCAGCAGTCTTATATCTGCGCTCACGCATTATCCTCGCCCTCACCCCGACCTCCGGAGGAAAGCGAGCGTCCAGCCAGCTTGCCCCAACGGTTTCGTGGCTGAGGTCTTCCGCCAGGAAGTCGGTTTTGCCCGCGTGCTCATCGAGAAGCAGGTGGCCGACCTCTCATGAGACCAGCTCATCCTCGAACCCGAACCCTAAACCCTTGCAAGCTGCAACAGCCTCTGGAGAAACACTCCGGGTTTTACTTGCAGCATAGGTGAGGGGTAAGCACTCTTGGAGCCACACGTCATGGAGCAACGTCGCGACGACCAGGGATTCCTCTGCATCCTCCTTCTCTGCGAGGGACGCAGATTGGAGCGCGTGCTCCATCTGCGTGACCTTCGGAGCGGGAGAGTTCAGATGAGGGAGGGAATGGGAGGAAGGAGATCTAACAGCAAAACAAATAACACAAAAGGCTCCGGAGCTGCTACGCTTCCGCCAGGGGCCTGTGGGTCGTAGAGGGTGCCGCCCTTGCTTGCAAAAAGCTCTTCAACCTCGTGGACGACCCGGTCAGCAAAGTTGTCCTTGCCCTGGAAATGCTTGATCAGGGATAAGGAGCCCTCCTTCAGAGCCTCGCGCTTGTGTCGGTAGTACTCATCTCGCAGGTAGCCCTCCTCCTGCGAATTGTAGGTCAAGTAGAGCCTCGGCTCCGCCTACCCTCGAAAACCCAAAAGGAAAAAAAATAGGGTTTAGGGTTTAGGGTTTAGGGTTTAGGGTTTAGGGTTTAGGGTTTAGGGTTTTTAGCCTTTGGGTTTAGGGTTTAGGGTTTAGGGTTTAGGGTTTAGGGTTTAGGGTTAAGGGTTAAGGGTTAAGGGTTTAGGGTTTAGGGTTTAGGGTTTAGGGTGTAGGGTTTAGGGTTTAGGGTTTAGGGTTTAGGGTTTAGGGTTTAGGGTTTAGGGTTTAGGGTTTAGGGTTTTTAAGTAGGGTTTAGGGTTTAGGTAGGGTTTAGGGTTTAGGGTTTAGGGTTTAGGGGTTGAGGTTATGGGAATTGCCGCTCCCAAGCACCCAATTCCCAAAACCCTGCCCCTTGCACGCTCTAGAGACCCGAAGCATTCCTGAAGCCCGACACCCCAAGCCCCTAAACCTCCACAGAAACCTCTCACAAGCACTACAAGAACCCGACGAGAACCCGTAAAAAAACGTGAAAGTTCCAAGCCACAGCCTCCTCGGTCGCCCGCTGGTGTTGCTGCGCGAGCGGTGTGGCGCGTAGGAGGAGAAGATGACCTACCAAGGCGCACCCCCTTACGCGTTTAGGGTTTAGGGTTTAGGGTTTCGGGTTTAGGGTTTAGGGTTTAGGGTTTAGGGTTTAGGGTTTGGGGTTTAGGCTTTGGCAGGGTCTATGAGGTTTAGGGTTTACAGGGAGACTGGCCAGCCCTTGCCCTCAACCGGCTGTAGGGGATACAGTGTCATCCCTAAGCCCTAAACCCGATCCTACACCCTAAACCCTAAACCCTAAAAACCCCTAAACCCGAAACCCTAACACCCCAACACTCTAAAGCCTTTGCCTTGGGGGGAGCTGCATTCAAGCAGAATCTGGTTTAAGGTTTTCACAAGGGTTTAGGGCTTCGGGCTTAGGGCTTAGGGTTTAGGACCTGCCTGCTTCACATTAAGACCTCTTGAAAGCAGCAGGGCTTAGGGTTTAGGGTTCAGGGTAATTACGAGGCACCAGGTCCCCAGGGTCCGTCTCGCAGGCGGTGAAGGGCATCGCGCAGCACGCCTGAGGGCTGTTCCAGCGTGGGCCCTTAAGAGCGGTTGTATAAGCCTAGTGGGTCTCAGACACCCCAAACCCCCAAATGTCTCTTCCCGAGAACTCCCACACAACCCCCAACAAAGGGAAGCGCAGCTTAACATCAACCTGGAGCTTCGAGGGTTGAAACTAACATAAGGGTTCACAAGCTTACTACAACTCCCCCTAAACCCTACACCCTAAACCCTAAACCCTCAACCCTCAACCCTAAACCCTAAACCCTAAACCCTTCATTGTGGTTAGAACTATCCATGAAGGACCCCCGCCCCCACCTCGGAGTCGATGATGCCATCATGGGTGAGGCCTATGAGCCCTTCCTTGTGCCGGCCCGAGACGAACTCCAAGCATCCATTGTCCCGCCGCGACTCGTCGATGGACAGAAGTGCGGTGCAATGGACATGGACCTGCTTGTAGGCGGTTTAGGGTTTAGGGTTTAGGGTTTAGAGTTTAGGGTTTAGGGTTTGGGGTTTAGGGTTTAGGGTTTAGGGTTTAGGGTTTAGGGTTTAGGATGAACATGGACCTGCTTGTAGGCAGGGGCATCCTGGTGTGGCGCGTAGCCACCGCCGCCCGAGAGCTTGTAGTTGATCTTCTCTTTGTACAAGAAGACATCGCGGCCCATGGCGTCGGCGACGTACATGGGAATGCGCCCCAGCATCGTCAGCTGAGCCATGCCTGGATGATACGGCACAACATTCTCCGTTCTCGCCAGCATCCTTTGCCCGGCCTCGTCGACCTCAAAATGATGCATCCACCGCTTGGAATCCTCCGGCCACTTGGAGATGTCGTCTAGCCAAGCACTGATGCTTGTCACATCTTCTCGCGAGAACACAGCCGGCACCCTGACCCAGCCGTTCAACTCATAATGCATCTTCTGCTCCAAAGTCATGAGACGCAACGTCGGCGTGTACGACACGCGGCTGAGAATTCCTCGTGTCCATGGAAGGTTTCGCAGCCAAGGCAGTGTTGGGCGCATGGCCCTCGCCATCACTACGCACAAAGGCAAGGATGTGGCACAGCAAAGACTCCTAATGGCAGCGTTGGGAGAGCCAATTTGGAAACACATGCAAAGGGTAGGTCCGCTGTATATCTCTCCATAGTCGACGTAGTCAGCAAACATTGCCTAGCGCGACCGAACTCTCAAAGCACACTCCTCATTTGCATTGCGGCTCATTGTTTCATGCCTCGATGGTTCCACAACTTGGCCGTGATAGGGTTTAGGGTTTAGGGTTTAGGGTTTAGGGTTTAGGGTTTAGGGTTTAGGGTTTAGGGTTTAGGGTTTAGGGTTTAGGGTTTAGGGTTTAGGGTTTAGGGTTTAGGGTTTAGGGTTTAGGGTTTAGGGTTAGTGTTTAGGGTTTAGGGTTTAGGGTTTAGGGTTTAGGGTTTAGGGTTTAGGGTTTAGGGTTTAGGGTTTAGGGTTTAGGGTTTAGGGTTTAGGGTTTAGGGTTTAGGGTTTAGGGTTTAGGGTTTAGGGTTTAGGGGATGATGCCTGTGTTGCTAAAGGATGATATATATATATATATATATATATATATGTAGTGTCTAGTTTTCGTATCTATCAGAAAGCGAAGGGGGCGAACATACGAACGAAGGGATGATGTGTCGTGGAAAGCTGCGGAACAGAAGATACTGAAGGGTGTTGCTCTTAACGTCCTGAAATCGCTGAGACATGCAAAAGAACCCTGCAAGCAAACCTAGGATCAAGACCCCCTAGCCCAACGCCGGTAAGCCGCCCTGACCCAACACGTGCCACCTCGCAACAGGCCCTCCTTCTTTTTCCGTGCTGGCCGTCAGCCCCTCAAGTCCCAGATCCCCTGGCCGAGTACAAGGCGAGGATGCCGGAATACGTGATGCTCACAGCGCTTCGCTTCGACCTCAGCGCGGACTGAATCAGTCCGGCTGTCAAGGCGCACTCGGCACGATGATCCCAGCGGGCCGTCGGCGCGGCGAAATGCCGTGACGCCTCGAGGGGGGCGACTCGGGGGAATGAAGCTCAGGGTCATGGAGCATCCATGGCAGTTTGAAAGCTCAGCCGGGAGCACATACGCCGCTCCGCCAGGTGGGCAGGCAGCCAAGGCAACGCAGGGCATCTGGACCACTCCGCAGGCCGAAGCTCAGGCAAGTGCCGAGGGCAGGGAGGCTTGTGGAGGCCGCTCCTGCAGAAGCGGCCAAGGCCGCCCAAAGGCCCAAAGACTTCAATTAATCACGGGCGCGCACATTTTCAAGTGCCACCAATGTTTGACACACGGAGCCTGAGCCTCAGAGCATCGGCAGCTCCATGTCTGCTGCTTGGCTTTGGGGATGTCACCCAAGCACTGGGAATGGGCTACAAAGTAGCATGGCTTCGAAACCTGCCAGGGTCGGCCAGGATCGGCCCGGAGCGATTCAGCGCTCCGATGGGCAGGGTCAGGGAACTGAGTCTGCAAGCTCTACTCCGTCAGGCAAAGAAAATGCTGCGTTGCCCCTGTTGGCCGTGCATTCCAACCTTGTCTCGAACCTGATGCTGACCGTGAAAGAAGGCATAGGCGGCCTCTACTTTGCTGAGTTACCCAGGCCGTGCCAACACACAGCAGCTGAGGGTTGTTCAGAAGCCCTTTAAACCCCTAACTAAAGCTTCAAGCGTCCAAGCCTCGCCTCTACCCCAAGAGCGCAGTATCCTCCGCCAAAAGAGCGGGGACAACTAGCGATGTGTTGCAACAAGGTGGTGTTTCTGACTTAGAGCACAAGAATTGCTTTTATCTTCTCACAGGGCTGCTGTGTTTAAAGCAAACAGGGCGAGAAAGGGCACGGCATCCCCGTACGAGCGCAAGGTATGCAGCTGTTCCTTGATTGCTCCTTTGCACACATGTTCGAGTGAAACGGTGTTGTCTGAGGACAACTCGGGACTATTTGCAGGGTCGCATCCGCATAGCACAAGAATGGGCTAGTAGTCGGAGCACTTCGGGGAGCTCGGATCTAGTCCCGAACCACAGAGCCGCTCACCTCTTCCACGCCATGCGTGGGGAAGGACCAGGGAAGCACTCTAAGACTCGCTGTCTTTCATGCGATATGGTCCTTCGTTGCTGAGGGATTCAGGCTGAAATCGTTTGGGTTTCCTAGCACTCTCCTTCGAAGCACAACAAGCAACCAACAATAGCTCAGAAACCGGGACCTCCAGGGCCGGGCGGACCTGGCAGAACACCCCAGAACACCCCAGCAGTCACAGCAGTTCAAGTCCACGTCTCGCTTCCCCCCATGACGCTTTGCCTTGGGAGGGGAAGTACCATGCCACTCCCAACACTAAAACCACGCCGAAACAGGGACTGTATAGGCGCACATAATACACCGTGGGCGATTTTGGGGTGCGCCAACCTCCGGCATTTGAGTATTCTTGTACCGCCAGGTGGGCAGGCAGCCAAGGCAAGGCAATACCCGCAGGCGCCAGGATCAGGTGACAACGACGAGACTGGAGTTTTGACTTTGACAGCGAAAAGGGCACGGAACAGCGCGATTGAAACAGCCGCCAGCCCGAATACCCGCAGGCTCCAGGATCAAGTGACGACGACGAGACTGGAGTTTGGACTTCGACGAGACAGAAAATGAATTCAGAATTCCGTCAGTGTTGGCACACTGGTTGGGGTCAATCAACGAAAACAGTAACAATACTAGGAGCTTGACGAACATAACTGCCAGGTCTGTGCTCATGCCAAATCGTCATAGTTGCAGGCCCTCCCGGCATGAAAAGCAACTGGCAGCAAATGTCATCAACATTGATTCCTCAGCCACCAGGACTCCACTATCAAAAGGATTGCAGTTAGGATGAAACTCTGCGCCTACTCCCGCATGAACCCAACAGCCTGCCTCCAACAGATTCCAGCGACGCAACGCACGCGGCCTGGGCAGCAAAGATATGCATGCGTCCACTATCCGCTGATCTCACTTCCGCAATCTCGTCAATTCAGCTATAAGGAAGCCAGATCTTGAACACATGCTCGAAGTGAAGCGAGGGGGTCCCACTTCAAGCCGAAAAGGCACCGTTTCCTTTTCTCGCTTCCCGCCTGTTCGCGATCTTTCTGCCCAGGTACAACCCATTAAAACCGCACGCGTGCCCCTTCTACAAAAACCTTCTCTCTTTACTACGTGCTTGAAACTTCGCAAGGAACATCCCCCAGAATCCGGCAGGGCGGCACGCGTAGTTGGGAATTCCCTTGGGCTTCTCATGATGCTGTCTGCCCTAAGCTAAAGCTGAAGGCCGGCAGCATCACACTGTGAATGTGTGGCTGTAAAGTCAAATGGGGGTTTACGACGGGGCCGGGGGGGGGTTACCTTGTAAGGGTCCTTGCTAAAAGGGCATCCCGTTATTATTGGCGTCTATGTATTCTACATATTCGGGTGCCTTATTCTCGCAAACCCCCAAATAAGGCAGAACGCCAAGACATGGCACAGCATTGCCAACTAGCGCAAGACTTGAATTAGGTAGGCTGAAAAGCGTGAAACGCCACATGCTTGTGTCTGCATGTGTAAGTGCCACCGAACGCTGCTTCATAGATTCATCAAGCAAGCATGATTCAGCATGATGGCAAAATCACGTGGTCACACGCATACCTTCTTCTCCGAGAATCTTGCTCTTCACCTGCCACCATGCAAATAGCCATCCGGCTCACACTCCTGATAGTTGGGAGTCTCCGCACAATCTGTGCAAAGCGAAGGGAAGCACAGCGGCTTCTGCGCTCCATTTGTCGTTACCGCATAATCTGGCGAAGGAATTTCGAGAGTCTTCCCGTCCTCATTCTTGACCTCCATGTTCCACTGCCAAAGCGCCCCACCCTCTGGCAACGTGAAGCTGCGCTCGTCTTCGCCATGCGTGCCAACCGAAGCAGACCATGAGCTTTCCATGGACCCGCTCACTGAAGCACTCGCCGATGCCGACCCCTCTGCTAGGAAACTGACCCCTGTTTTGAATTCTGCACTGGTCGAAACCTCTGCAGCTACTTCTTTAGCTGAACCTTCCTCCATGCTCTTGTCAAAGCCAAACTTGATTGTCTTTGTTTCGCCTTTCATGACCATGTATTTGTACACCCAGCGCCCTGTCACCGTCAGCATAGATTTCGAGGTACCGACGGTTACCTCTCGAGTTATCTGGCCGGCCTTGCCACATTGGATCATCCATGTGACGGAATTTTCTGGCAAGGCGCCTGCGACACCGCTGTGTACGAAGGTATAAGGCACATCTTCCAGAGGTTTCGCTTCTTCTTTGTTGGGCGCCCAGAATGCAAAAGCCTGTACATCACATCCGCGGCTCCACACCTTCTCGGGCACAGTTGTTGAGATCTGTCCACCTGGGGCCAGCGACCATTGACCCCATCCGCTGTTGTCGCCTTTTGCAGGCCCATCACACTCCTTGTCGTACCAAAGGAACCATGATTTGTCACTCTTGTAATAGGGACGGCCATCTGCTGTAGTGCCTTGGAAGGTGTACATGCCATTCGCGTCCTTATTTTTATCATTTGGGCACATGACTCCAGACACACGTAAGTTGTAGGGCACCTCTCCGAACGAAGTCCATTTCTTGAACTTCAAGGAAAAGGCCTGCCCGGTGGAGACAGCCATGGGGGAAGCCTCCGGCGCTCCCAGCATGCGGTACACAAGGCACAGGGCGCCCAACACCACCACAGCAGCGCCAAACAAGTTTGGCCAAGGGCGACGCTGGGGAGCCGGAGGTAGTAGGTGCTCTTCGTCCGAGGCTGGCATGCCCTGTTCAATGATCTCCATACTGAAGTGATGCCGGATGAGCCCTTGTCAAGTGGAGCCAGAAGTGCTGCAGAGATTGACATCTGATTTGTTGCTAACGCTGTTCCAACACTGTTCTAACCAGGGCCCAGGCATCTTCACAGCTTCGTGTGTGCCCGTTTCAGCTGCGCTCCTGGGCCCAAAGATGCCCAAAGTGCCATGGAAAGCAAGAGTCTTGTTGGGCAAGTGCTGTGTGGCTTTTGTGACTTGGGAGATCCCCCCAACTCTGCCTTCCTCGAACTCTGTGCAAAGGCTTTGGGCTCTAGGGTTTTAGGGTTTAGCCCGACATGAACGACCCCCCTCCCACCCCCCCCGGGGCTACTGCTTGATGCCCGCAATCTCGGCCTGTCTGTGCACGACGACACCTGACGGAGTCCAGTGGGCCACGTGGGCCACCGGCGACATGCGCTGACAACACCGCAGAAACTCAGGCCTCAACCGTCTCTCAATCGTATCCCCAGACCGATCTCTACTTTGAAGGGACGGGGTGCACGAAACGCGCTTGATCACCCCTACATGCACGGCGTTTTTGCACGGAAGACTTCTAGGGCTAAGGACTTTGATGGCTCGAGCTTTCCCAGATCGCCTCTGACCACCTACACGAGTTGATGGGATGGGACGCAGTGAGCGGTTCAGAGTGTTTGGTCCTGTGCAACTCAAAAAATTCCCCGAGAACCTTTCTAATCTCAACGTCCTCCCCCCAAAAGCAGCCTCTTTCGTCGTTGAGGCTTAGGCATTTGTGGGAATGGCAAGTCACCATCTGCCCACCTTCACTTGTTGGAGGGTTGTGCAGTATAAAAATGCGGATGTTTCAGAGTGGGAATTATCTTAGCCTGTTTAGGTGCAGGGAGTTAGGACCGGCGGACTTCCATCCTATCGGAGCGGTTTAATAACGTCTTGACTTGCTACTTCCCAAAAGTTGTTTTTAGGGTCGCTGCCCACAGCAAGAACGGCACAGAATAGCGCAATCAAAACAGTAGCCTGACAGAAGGGGACAACAACGAGACTGGAGGTCTGACTTTGACAGCGAAAAGGGCACCGAACAGCGCAATTGAAACAGGCTGGCGAATACCCGCAGGATCCAGGATCAGGTGACAACGACAGGACTGGAGCAATTCCTTTGGCAGCGAGAATGGCACAGAACAGTGCAATCGAAACAGTCGTCAGCCGGAAGGTGACAACGACAAGCCTGGAGGTTTGACTGGCGCAATTGAAACAGTCGCCAGCCCGAATACCCGCAGGCTCCGGGATCAGGTGACAACGACGAGACTGGAGTTTTGACTTTGACGAGACAGAAAATGAATTTAGAATCCCGTCAGCGTTGGCACACTGGTTGGGGACAATCAACGAAAACAGTAACAATACTAGGAGCTTGACCAACATAACTGGCAGGTGTGTGCTCATGCCAAATCGTCATAGTTGCAGGCCCTCCCGGCATGAAAAGCAACTGGCAGCAAATGTCATCAACATTGATGCCTCAGCCACCAGGACTCCACTATCAAAAGGATTGCAGTTAGGATGAAACTCTGCGCCTACTCCCGCATGAACCCAACAGCCTGCCTCGAACAGATTCCAGCGACGCAACGCACGCGGCCTGGGCAGCAAAGATATGCATGCGTCCACTATCCGCTGATCTCACTTCCGCAATCTCGTCAATTCAGCTATAAGGAAGCCAGATCTTGAACGCATGCTCGAAGTGAAGCGAGGGGGTCCCACTTCAAGCCGAAAAGGCACCGTTTCCTTTTCTCGCTTCCCGCCTGTTCGCGATCTTTCTGCCCAGGTACAACCCATTAAAACCGCACGCGTGCCCCTTCTACAAAAACGTTCTCTCTTTACTACATGCTTGAAACTTCGCAAGAAACATCCCCCAGAATCCACGGCACGCGTAGTTGGGAATTCCCTTGGGCTTCTCATGATGCTGTCTGCCCTAAGCTAAAGCTGAAGGCCGGCAGCATCACACTATGAATGTGTGGCTGTAAAGTCAAATGGGGGTTTACGACGGGGCCGGGGGGGGGTTACCTTGTAAGGGTCCTTGCTAAAAGGGCATCCCGTTATTATTGGCGTCTATGTATTCTACATATTCGGGTGCCTTATTCTCGCAAACCCCCAAATAAGGCAGAACGCCAAGACATGGCACAGCATTGCCAACTAGCGCAAGACTTGAATTAGGTAGGCTGAAAAGCGTGAAACGCCACATGCTTGTGTCTGCATGTGTAAGTGCCACCGAACGCTGCTTCATAGATTCATCAAGCAAGCATGATTCAGCATGATGGCAAAATCACGTGGTCACACGCATACCTTCTTCTCCGAGAATCTTGCTCTTCACCTGCCACCATGCAAATAGCCATCCGGCTCACACTCCTGATAGTTGGGAGTCTCCGCACAATCTGTGCAAAGCGAAGGGAAGCACAGCGGCTTCTGCGCTCCATTTGTCGTTACCGCATAATCTGGCGAAGGAATTTCGAGAGTCTTCCCGTCCTCATTCTTGACCTCCATGTTCCACTGCCAAAGCGCCCCACCCTCTGGCAACGTGAAGCTGCGCTCGTCTTCGCCATGCGTGCCAACCGAAGCAGACCATGAGCTTTCCATGGACCCGCTCACTGAAGCACTCGCCGATGCCGACCCCTCTGCTAGGAAACTGACCCCTGTTTTGAATTCTGCACTGGTCGAAACCTCTGCAGCTACTTCTTTAGCTGAACCTTCCTCCATGCTCTTGTCAAAGCCAAACTTGATTGTCTTTGTTTCGCCTTTCATGACCATGTATTTGTACACCCAGCGCCCTGTCACCGTCAGCATAGATTTCGAGGTACCGACGGTTACCTCTCGAGTTATCTGGCCGGCCTTGCCACATTGGATCATCCATGTGACGGAATTTTCTGGCAAGGCGCCTGCGACACCGCTGTGTACGAAGGTATAAGGCACATCTTCCAGAGGTTTCGCTTCTTCTTTGTTGGGCGCCCAGAATGCAAAAGCCTGTACATCACATCCGCGGCTCCACACCTTCTCGGGCACAGTTGTTGAGATCTGTCCACCTGGGGCCAGCGACCATTGACCCCATCCGCTGTTGTCGCCTTTTGCAGGCCCATCACACTCCTTGTCGTACCAAAGGAACCATGATTTGTCACTCTTGTAATAGGGACGGCCATCTGCTGTAGTGCCTTGGAAGGTGTACATGCCATTCGCGTCCTTATTTTTATCATTTGGGCACATGACTCCAGACACACGTAAGTTGTAGGGCACCTCTCCGAACGAAGTCCATTTCTTGAACTTCAAGGAAAAGGCCTGCCCGGTGGAGACAGCCATGGGGGAAGCCTCCGGCGCTCCCAGCATGCGGTACACAAGGCACAGGGCGCCCAACACCACCACAGCAGCGCCAAACAAGTTTGGCCAAGGGCGACGCTGGGGAGCCGGAGGTAGTAGGTGCTCTTCGTCCGAGGCTGGCATGCCCTGTTCAATGATCTCCATACTGAAGTGATGCCGGATGAGCCCTTGTCAAGTGGAGCCAGAAGTGCTGCAGAGATTGACATCTGATTTGTTGCTAACGCTGTTCCAACACTGTTCTAACCAGGGCCCAGGCATCTTCACAGCTTCGTGTGTGCCCGTTTCAGCTGCGCTCCTGGGCCCAAAGATGCCCAAAGTGCCATGGAAAGCAAGAGTCTTGTTGGGCAGGTGCTGTGTGGCTTTTGTGACTTGGGAGATCCCCCCAACCCTGCCTTCCTCCTGCCATGACTGCGAATGAACTCGCATAGAGGTTTGGGCTGTTGGATTGGGATAGTGTTGGGATGCTTCGGGTTTAGGCTTCGGTGTTCAGGGTTTTAGGGCCCAAGAAACACAGCACGGCACTGAAAGACAACAGAGACCCAAGACCAAGAACCTCACACCAGCGGGGTCCGATCACGTGGAAGAGTCGGGCTGAACTCTGTGCAAAGGTTTTCTAGGGTTTTAGGGTCTAGAGTTTAGAGTTTAGAGTCTAGCCCTCCGGCCATTTGGAGATGTCGTCTAGCCCTTGCGATGCTCGTGCTGAGAATGGGCACGGCGGACCTTCCAGGACCCTTGAGATCTCGTACGACGCAGGAATTCAAGAAGATGGTACAACACTGCCAGGGGCAAGCTCAGGGGCTACTCGGAGCCCTGATGCTGGGTGCATGGGAAGCCCGAGGCACGTCCAGGAAGCTTCCAAGAAAGCAAGCAATTGGTGAAGACTGCGTGACAGGGCATGTTGAGCATAAAGCAGGCTCTGGATGTGCGAGGTAGCAAGTACGCATCCGGCAACGGGCAGTTGCTTGACATGCTCGAAACCACTGTGGGAGTTCTGCATGAATGGGGCCTTTAGCTTGGAGAGTCAAACTCGCCGCCTATCTCCGTCTGACAAGCCTGTCACCTCCACTCTTAGGCAGTGTATACAAAGAGCTTCACTCACAACTAACTCACTTTTATGAAAGCAAAACATCGGAGCACTTCCGCTCTCCGACAGTCCAGCGACATGCCACCACACCCCCAAACAACTTCAAAGCGCTGAGATGAACAGACTGCGATACAAGTTCCTCCTCCAAGTCTCGCACGAACTGCCGCGCGGGAACCTTGTACTCAGTGCCCCCTCCCCCACTTGAGCAACACCGTCTTGACTGCTGAACCCCTTGCCTCGGAACTTTCGAAGCAAAGCAAAGGGACAAATCCAGCAGGCGCATGATCTGCACGCAGCGGTCGCTGGGCAAGGTCAGCGGCAATGCTTCAAAGCTTGCCAACCTCGCGCAAAGACCATTCTACGATGCCTGCGTCGAGCAGGCACTGCGGCCATTGACAGCCACACTCAAATCATGAGTTCATGGCCGTTCTGGCTGGGTCTGGAGGGCTCGGCCGACGACAGCAGCCTGTGCATGCAAAGAAGGGGCAAGCTAAATGGCCAGACGTCTGAGCTTCGGTGCTGCTGGGTGCATGTGGCATCCAAGCCACGAACAAGAGGCCTCCAAGATGGCAGCTTCACTTTGGACAGGCTTGCACCTCAGCGAGACATGCTGACTTCTTGGAGCATCTACCTTAAGAGGAGTAATAAACTTGCCCACAGCTGCCGCAGGGTGTTGGGTGCCGGAGGCGTGGCCATCTTGCCGGCACGAGAGACTTGCCGCCCAGGGCGCCTTCACGGTTCCCTTTTCAGATCCTGAAACCTGCCGACTCAAGCAAAAGGGCCGAATCCTCCAACCTAAAGGGGAGGTTGAAAGCAGGCTCACAGGCCAACGGCAGCTTCGGCAGCTTCGGCAGCTTCGGCAGCTTCGGCAGCTTCAGCAGCTTCAGCAGTTCAGCCCGTGGAAGGGGGGGTAGGGCGGGGGGAAGCTGTTTCCCCTAGAGTGAGTGCCTAGAGTGCCGAGGAGCCTGAACCCTAAAGCCTCAGCCGCAAACCCCTGAAAACAGCAGCGGGCAAGCGTCAACGGCACATCTCAGGGCTTGAAGCGCACGCCTGCCAATCGCGACATGCTTAGCAATATCTTTGCTCCTGGCTCCGAGATGAGTGCAAAAGGCGCTCTTGAGATTCAGGGTGTGGACCTTGTGTGGTGCTTGCTTAATTTTGCTTCTGGGGCTTAAGAGAGCCAGGTGGGGCTGGCGGCTCTCACATCACGAGGAGGCGCCCAAGATATAGCGAGCGCCGGGATCCGCGGATGGCCGCGTCAAAAACGTCCAAAGGCGCAAATGCAGGCACCAGTACGGAAATTTAGGGATTCGGCGGCGATGCACGCATGGCACATATGGCACCCATTCTAACCTTCGGCTCGCTAGTGGCGCAACACTGGCGACTCCAAGGCTGCCAAAGCAAAGCTCTCAGACTGGGTCGGTCAAGGCATCGGGATATTTGGGCAAAGCTCCAGGTCATTGGCATTCAAGCCAGTGCCGGAGAGGGCCTGTTCCTGAATGGGTGCAACCCTGTGACAGGCGCAACAAAGTCTAACCCTTCGGCGGCCTCGCTCTATGGGGCGCGAGGAGTGAGGAGCGGTCCGTCCCATGCCTCGACGCCTTCGCTTCCTTTGCCTATGTCCCACTATGTCTAGCCGGTTTAGGGTTTAGGGTTTAGGGTTTAGTGTTTAAGGTTTAGGGTTTAGGGTTTAGGGTTTAAGGTTTAGGGTTTAGGGTTTAGGGTTAGGGTTTAGGGTTTCGGGTTTAGGGTGAAGGAGAAGAAGGGGTCCGGGTTTTTTTTTTTGCAAAGGTGTGGCTCGGCCCTGTCCCCTTGCAAAGGTGTGGCTTGGCTTGGCTTGGCTTGGCTGGGCGTGTCCTCTGACCTGGCTTGGCTTGGCTTGGCTCGGCTTGTCCTCTGGCTTGGCTTGGCTCGGGTGGGCTCGGCTCGGCTTGGCTTGGCTTGGCCTGGCTGGCTTGGCTTGGCTTGGCTCGGCGTGGCTTGGCTCGGCTTGGCCTGGCTTGGGTGCCGACTTCGTTTTGATTTCCCTGTTCTCCCCAGTCGCAAAGATTCTTTTTACCGCGATGTAGCTGTAGCTGGTAGAAATACGTGGAGTGTATATATGTAGTATGCGCAAGCATTGAGTTTGCAAATGGCTGCGCCCCCCCAACCCCCCCCGCTTTTTTAAGCCGTGCAAGCTTGCGTCAAAGCATATGAGTCTTGTTGAAACCCATGATAAGCGTCTCGGCTCTCAGCGTTTCGTAAAGCGGGCCCCCACATAGCTGACCGTAGTGTCCCTTCAGAGATTTCTGTCTCTTCTTACCAATCGAAGCCATTCTGCCTGTTACTCAGATTCGCGTTGTGGCTCTGGAACTGGTTGCTGACTGCCTGCTGAATAGTCAAAGCACAATTGACATTGAAAGTGCCCTGGACCTCGCAGGGCAGCTGTGGAATCAGGATACTGCAGACGAACTTGTGCCAGCGATCCTTGAGGTTCTACCAAGAGAACTGGGACTTCAGCTGGTGGCCTTCATTTCTGTCAGGTTCCCGTTGTTGTGTGTAGCACTTGAGCAGCAACTTGCAACGCCTCTAATCAGCCTGGTCTCAGTTGCACCATGAATCTCATTCTGCAACTGTTATGCACAGTCATCCTCTGCCGCAGATGCATCCCCGCCTACGACAGTGCCATGAGGCACACTGGTCGGCCAGATCCCACTGCGTGCAGACAACGGCCCCTCGGGGTGCCAGTTCCAAAGCCAGCGCACGAAATAAAAGAGGACCCCAAGCCCTACCCCCCCCTCCTAAACAACCGAAGCTTCCATCATTGCCCCCCCCATTGCAGCTCTCTTCACCACCGCTCGCTAGTTCCTCCTCAAGTGATAGAATCCATGGAGTGCCGAGGAGTGCACAAGGGCTCCTGGACTGGAGCGAGTCAGAGAGCTCCGCACATGAGCCAAACATGCTCCCAGAGAAAAGGACCGACAGTCCCACAATCGGCCCCGGCCCTGGGGAAGCCGATGGCCCAGGTCAATCTTCCAGCCCTGATCAAGGACCGGGCACCGATGACTCACTTTCGACGGACTCCGAGCAACCACAATCATCTAAGGGTCGCAAGATGGGCATCTCGAGCAAGGCTGTGGCATACGCAATCTCCACAGGTTCATGCGCGGGCCTTATCACCAGACTTCTCGGAGACATTCGAAGCCTACCTCTTCGAAAGCGGCGTAAGAAGGCTGCAGAACTTCTCGCTAAGTGTGAGACCATGCAGGCCGAAACAGATGCTTGTTAGAGGCATCTACCGAAGGCCTACCTCAGCTCTTCGAGTGCCTCGCCGTAGCCATATGTGGAATATGTGCCCTGTCGCAGTTAGCTTTGCTCGGCACGGAACGCCGGCCATGATACCCAGTCAAATCCTTAACATGCTTGCGTCCCAGGTGCAGTGTACCCGGAGTGGGGAACTTGGTGTACCGGCGTGCAGTGGTGGACAGTGGTGCAGATGCGGCTTGCGCATGCTCGCGCCAGGGACCCTCTGCGAAATGCCGACCGTACGGTGAGCGCACTGCATCCTCGAAGAGCTGCAGCCGCAACCCTGCGACCCAGTGGGAGGCGCGCAATGGTCCCGGGCTCATAAGCACAGGCCAGAAGCTTGCAGACCATGCGCAAACCTTCAATCCATCAGGGGGTTAAAAAAGAAATCCCGGCTCTGCAACCCAACTCAGGCACTCCAGCAATCGGTTTTGGAAAGCTCCTCCAACCACTCAGGAATATGAGCGCAAACCATCATGGGACATGAAAGGCAGAGACGGAGGTGCTCTTGACAGTGTCAAAGCTGTGAAGTCATCCCGCGAGACCTGGGACCTGTTTCGGGAAGTGCCATCTGAGGTGAGCAAATTGGCTGTGGATGGCTCTCATATGCGGAATGAAACTGCCAGAAAGCATGAAAGCTGCCTGGTGTTAAGGGGGTCAGACCTGTTCCCTTGCATCATAATCCAACCCCCTAAACCTCCGCCAAACCCTAAAAACCCGAAGCCCCTGCCCTAAACCCAAAAATCCTAAAAGCACGTCTTGCGGCCTGAAGTCC